AAATCTCTACCCTGGGCTAAAAGAGAAATTAAATGGATATCCTGACCCAGGATCTGGAGACTGTCAGGGACTTGATGGCTCGAAACAGACTCAAGTTGAATTCCTTGCAAGACAGAGTGGCTGTTTGTTCAGAAATCTTCTGGTCCCTGAGTAGCTCCAAATTTGGCTCTGCATGTGATTGCTTTCTCCCAGAAGGAGCCGTTCCCTGACCTAAGACTTCGGCAGAACATCTCTCTTTTGTTTAAATATTGCTTGTTTGCTTTTGTCTTAACAAGTGTGAAGCCAGCCATTGTGTTCATAATTGGTTGTTATTCAGTAAACCTTAGTTAAACAAACTTTGTGTAGTGTATAAGCCAGGTCTATAATTAAAATATAAAGACATGCTCAGTACAAAGTAATCAGCTGTTGTTTATTCCTACTTTTTAATGTACTCAATAAAACAATTTTATCATAAAGTGCTAAATGGTTAGACATTAGATCTCAACTTCATGAATCAGAGTGCAATATCAATAATGCTATATGATTTCCGTATTCTTAAACTTTACAACTGATAGATTTTTTTTAAAATGCATAAAAAGCCATTCTGAAAGCAGAAAGAACTTATCTGTAACCATAATAAAGCCATCTCCTATAAAAAGTTTTTTTCAAAACTGGAAACCAGGCATAAGATGTAACAGAAAAAAAAACAACCTGTTATTAAAGCACCTTCAGCTCTCCCTTAAAAATATGTGATCAATCATGCTTTGTCTACACATTTAAAGGATGCTGTTCTGAGGCTCCTATAATTATACTGTTTCAGATCTCCAATTTTACTGAGAAAATAGAGCCATTGCTCTGCATGAGAAATTACCAAGTGAAAAGCTTATTGAACGAAGCAGATGAGCTTTACTTTTCTAATATAATGATATGTGAGAATGACCTTGGGGGACAAAAGGAAGAGCTGCGTTTTGTCATGCTTCCCTAGGTTGGGGCAAATTCTGTCCCAGTTGTTCTATTAGTTTTATGATAGCATTCTGTAAATTAGTTACTTGTACATACATGTGTTGCTGGTGTTGTGACAATGCAGCAACTAGGGGCTTGGCGGATGTAAGTGTCCTCTGAGCACTGGAGACCATTACAAAAACTCCAACCAAAATCTTCTGCCTCTCTTAGGAAGAAAGTAAGAGTCTTAAAAGATTGACGTTAGCCCTTTGAGATAGTCTAGACAAGAAGCAGAACTATAAGCTCTAACTCTATCTTTGTTGTAACAGAATTATGTTAACAGAATCTTGAATGCTGGGAAAAATTTCTCCCCACCTGTCTTTTCACTCTCTGGAAAACTAGGTTTCTCATCTCCTGTGGATTGCAACTCTTCCTCCTGTCTCCCACATACCAAAATAGCAGCCACAATTTTGTGTCTAGTCAAAACTGAAGGTCCTCATTTTACACATGGGTGCAATGTTATAGAACTGTTAGCTTATGGAAGGGTTCTTGAAAAGGAATATTTGTGCAATCCAGGGACTGTCTCTATTTAAAAATAAATAAATAAATAAACCATTTCAGTCTCCAAGTTCAGCAATAAAAAGAATACTTTGAAATTTGAACATTTGTTACTTTTGTGATGTCACAATCTCGTCAGTCTGAATGTTCACTCTAAACACAGGGTGCTGATATGAAAAGGTGAAAATTGAAAAGAGCACAGTGAACTACATATCTAGTACAGGAGACAGCAAAGCAACGTGGAAAAATTGCACACAAGCAGAAAGAAATCTAAATCAAAGTTCAGAGGAAAGCTCGACCAAGAGTAGTTTTAACAGCCAAATTGTAAAGCCTGCATTGAAAGGGATGAAATGTTCCCTTAATTTTTTCCTGGTACACAGTAGTAATATGAGGTAGTGGCAAACATTAAAAATGAAACTAAAGAACATCCTAATTCATGTCAATAAAACTTATATTATTTTTTCAAAACATAATACTTACTGGAAGGAAGCAAATATTTTAATTCACTCAGAGAAGTAAAAAGCATTGAACTGCCTTGTTGCCAAAACCAATAAATATGAAAGAATGTAATTCAAGCACCGACCTTGGAAACAAATATTCCCCCTCTTGATCCAAGCAATAGATCAAAAATAATACCAATGAACATTTTCTTAGCAGGGTCGCTTTTACTTCTCAACATGTTTTATCTATTTCAAATGTTTTTATACCAGCCTTCATCAAAATAGATTTAAGGATGGTATAATCATGGAGGACACAGACTTGCAAGAACCAATCAAAACCAAATACAAAATGCCAGATGAGGGTAGAAGATTCCCTACTATCCCCATGAATCAAATGTTACATATTTCTGATGAATAACATTTTCACTGAAAGTATATTTAAGAAGAAGAAAACTCAATGTTAGACCCAACAGATAAAAACTCGTATCTATCATTTTTATCACATACCTATTTTATGGGCAAACAGATAATTCATTTTTTCCATTTAATGCTTTTCCGTTTAACACAAATAGAGTGGCATGAAATATGAGCCACTTTAGGATATTAATGACCTCAATCCAACTGCATTTAAAACACCATTTAGTTATAGTGATCATTAAAAACTATTTCCCATGAAGAATCCTACACAAGGCTGATAAATTTTTACAGCTAAATCAATTTAATGAAATGTGAACTAAGTTATTGCTGTGGAAGTGATAAAGAGAAAAACAGAGCCTTAGAAATAAATGTATGTGGAGCACTCCATATATTGAACATGGCACAAGTCACCTTGAAAAAAATGATATTCATCTCTATGTTTCAGAGCCACGAAGACACTTGCAGGTCAGCTTGACATTGGTTTTCAATGGATAGGAAATAGTAACCATAAACATTCTTCATATACTGTATACAACAGTGTTTCTCAACTACAGCAACTTTAAGACAAGTGGACTTCAAACTCCAAAAATTCTCCAGCCAGCCAATTTTGGGAACTGAAGTCCACTCATCTTAAAATTGTTCAGGCTGAGAAACCTTAGTAGCATAGCTGGCTGAGGAATTCTGGGAACTGAAGTCCACAAGTCTTAAAGTTGTCAAGGTTGCAGACCTCTTCCCTAGTATACCCGGTTCCAGTTTTAATTCATATCATTTGTGGATGCGTCCTTTTAAACTCATTCTTCTGAAAACTGCTGCTTGCACTCCATAATATATTTGTCTCCACACACCCACACCTCTCTTTGCACATCTATGTCACAAGCTTCCTTCTTTTTGTCATTTCTCAGCTTATGAATCTTCACGAGCTATTAGTTTTTTGGGTTTTACTTGTTTCATTTTCCAGTATCTCTTAAAGAAGTGGTAATAGCCATGAAATCCTAAGAAAATATGTGTTTGAGATGTGAACATGGTGCAACCTTGCCCATCCATCCCCATTCATCAACTCATTAAAAGCATATTTTCCTGGATCTGCATCTAAAGTGTGATCCCAGGAAAAGGTGCAGGTAAGGAGGCCCAGACACATGTACCCAGACTCTCACTGAAGCATCTTTGCTGCTTTGCAGCCAAATAGCTAAATATCCCTAGATTTAACATGACAGAAAACTCAGAAAAAAGTTTCCTGATGATTATAATACTAACAAGGCATTTGTGTCAATCTCTCGTTAACCCATTGTATATGTGGTGGAATGTCTGGGTTCCCAGAAGGGAGGTTCTACATTCCAGAGAAGCAAGAGACAGCAAAGTTAGATATTTGGGTTGAAGAAAGAGGATCAAGACAGCTCCTTCCTAAAAGTTCTGAATATATTTTAGTGATGTAAGTAGTTTGCTTCAGTTTGGTAAAATTTCTGTCTATAGGCAAAAAACAATAAAGGAAGCTGCTTAGAAGTAATTGTGTGTGGTCTTTCCTGGTTTTTGGAGCCTGACAAAATAAATAAATATTAGGGACATACTATAGATGCATACCAAATGATCCTTATGCAATAGTTAGAATAATTAAGTAATTGTTTTTGACATTGTTAATAACACCAAGGAAAAAATAAGTTCTGAGTCAACTTTCTACTAATCTATCACTTGAAGCTATGTTGGAGCTCCCCCTTTTGATTAACTGCTCTCATTGCTATATCTTTTAGTTGATGCTCCATTGCATCATTTTTTCTGCTAAAGCCAGATAATATTAACACAAAATTACACTAAAGTTCACACCGCAGTACAATCCCTAATTTAAAGTAGGAAGATTTCATGCAGAAGGCACATCTCATATTTAGAAATAAAGTCCGGTAGGCCAAGAAAAATTGAGTGAAAGCTGCAAATTCTATCATGTATTGAAAGATCACATGGATAGAAATTAAACAATTTAAATCTTTCATCTTAATCCCAAACTGTTCCACTTTTTGTCACTGAAATATTACAAATCCAAAAATAAATCACAGACTTCTGCCTATAGCAGAAAAGACAAAATATTCCATTAAATTCCTTTTCTTACAATGATGTGTTTGAAAATAAGTATTTAATAAGGCATTTATTGATAGGCTCAATAATCTGGGGGATCAATCACCATAGTTTAAGCAAGCATTTTATAACCATGTCCATTTGTAGTATAAGCATCTGTAAATGTTCTATGTAATAACTATCTCTATTACACATCACTCATCACTCACACTAGCTTTTCCTTATTTAAAGCTTAAATTTTGTATTAATCTCAATGGAAGATTCAGATAGCTGATTATCTTTTTGTTTTTGCTTTCCATTAAGCTTCACAACTTACTATGCATTCTGCACCATCCTAGAGACATTCTTAGTAACATAATCTCAGTAACATTCATACCCAACTGGATAATTCTAACCAATTAAATTTGTGCATCTAAGTTGACAAGCATTGGCTACAGTACTTCCTTCTAAAACAAGTTCTTCTTTTCTTACCTAGCAGAAACAACCAAATTTACATGAATTGTCACCTTTATTGCCAATATATTTTTAATATTTTTTCTATATTGAATTACTGAGTATCCTTGCTCCTGCTTTCGCTGAATAATTTTAAAAAGCACTTACTTTTCATGGTTCCCTCATCTTCCTCATCTTCTGCATTTATGACCATTGTTCCCAATTGTGTTGCTAAAGTGTCATTATATTCTATCATGGTATTAACACCTTCACTCATTCCACAAGCAGCTCTGATTGTACCCGTCTCTTGTCCCCTTGCTCGAACCATAGTCCTAGAATCAATTTCATCTTCTTCCTACATCAAGAGACAAGAAAAACTTCTAACTTAAGGAAGGTAACTCCAGTCATGTAGAATCGTTCAAGGCATCATGATTCTTCAATTACCATAGCAACAAAAGTGAAGCAAGAATATATGGTTTGTTTCCAAACATATTTGTAAAACTCATCAAACAGCATCATACAGGTAGTCCTTGATTTATGACAAAATTTCTGTTGTTAAGTGAGTTTTGCCCCATTTTACAACTTTTTTGCCACAGTTGTTAAGTGAATCACTGCAGTTGATAAGTTAGTAATCCGGTTGTTAAATGAATCTGGTTTCCCCACTGACTTTGCTCATCAGAATGTCTTAAAGGCTGATCACATGACCTTAGGATACAGCAACAGTCATAAATATGAACCAGTTGCCAATCATCTGAATTTTGATTACATGATCATGGAGGTGCTACAAAAATTGTAACTGTGAAAAGTGGTCATAAGTCACTTCTTTCACTGCTGTTGTAACTTTGAATGGTCACTAAAATTAATTGTTGTAAATCGAGGACTACCTGTTAATTTGTTTTCTCCTTTTGGCCACAAATGGATAGTAAAATATTCCATCGTGAGATTTATTTTGTTACTGGAAGACAAGAGGATGTTACTGGAAGACAAGAGGATGACCACCAGAAACGTGATTGGAATTATAGTGGCAATGGGTACACTATTGGAAGATCTGAAGGACCATGCAAATCATCTTAAGGAAATTGATCTATGTGGTCACTGATGCTAATTTGATGGCACACAATTCTGTCATTAAACATCAAGAATGGAAACTAGGGATATTAAGAAATTTAAATTATATCTAATGAACTGCAGAGAAACATCTGTAACAGAGCAACCATGTTTGTACTCAACTGGCTTCCATATATCAAAATGACCCACAGACAATAAACTAGGATGGCCAAAACAAAAAAGAGCAGCAAACATATGAAGCAGCAAATGCTAATTTTTGAAGTTGTTTCCTCTTTGTTAGAGGAATGAACAAAGATCACAAAAATGACTGCCGTGTTTAGAAAATAAAATAGAAAAAAAAGCAAACTTAGAAGACAATATTTATTTATTTATTTATTTATGAGACTTATATACCGCTTTAAGTGCAAGCACTCTCTAAGCGGTGTACACCAGTAAGCAATGTATATATATTTACATTGCCCCCAACAATCTGGGTCCTCATTTTACCTACCTCGGAAGGATGGAAGGCTGAGTCAACCTTGAGCCGGTGAGATCTGAACCACTGACCTGCTGAACACAGTCAGCTAAAGTGGCCTGCAGTACTACCTAACTGCTGCACCACCTCGGCTCTTCAGATATAATTCAGATATAATTATATAATTATAATTATATCTGAATTATATTCAGATATAATTCTGAAGCAGATGATATAACTGATAGATTGCTCACAGTTCAAAGCAGGTGTCAAAAACCTTGCCTTCCTATAGTTCGTTTATTAGATTGCACTCCATCTTTCCTTTAGGAGCTCAAAGCAGGTGCCTTATGGGGCTGAGCTTGGCTTTCTGGTGTTTCATGGAACTTGCCAATATCTCATCACTCTCAATACACAAAAGGCTTTAGAGGGATCAAATGAGCAGATACCATCCATAAAGCAATGGTCCTGTTATTTCCTCCTCCTCATAGGATAGGAAGGAAAGAGGTTGGGAAAGACTGCAGCAAATTCATCTTGCAGTCTGTTGACACTTTCATCTTTGAAGAGGTGGGTTTTTTTAAAGGAAAAGTTACCAGATTTAAGAAATTAATTTAAAACACTTAAGAAATTAATTACTGTATTTTTAATTTTCAGGTTATGTTATCTAGTACTCAGAACTAGTTGGAACAGATTGGCACAGAAATACTAGTAATAAATAAATATTAAACAATAGACTCAATTGCAACAGTATGGGGGGGAAAAGAATTTATAACGCTACTACAGAAAACTTAATGGCTTTAGCACTCACTGAATTTTCTTCATCGTCATGAAATAAGTCACGCTGTTGAGCTTGCTGAATTTTTAGTTTAATATCCATTGCCTCGTTAATCATATCTCGTAAGATGAAAACTCCTTTGGCATTTTTTACAAAAGGGTGCTAGAAAACAAATATATATATTTTTAACAAAAGAGTTAAAGGCGGTAAGAAAAAAATAAGTCAATACAACTCCAAAGAGAATGCCAGTAGTAACTTTAATGCAAGATCGGGTCAATTTTGTTCAACTTATATAATTTATACAAAAACGGAAAATCTGATACGCTATTCTATAATACTTTAATAGCCTAGAACAGAGAGGTCCAATCTGCAGGATTTAGCCTGTCCCTTCTAGCATCTTTGGAAACTCCCAAAATTCAGGGACCCAATTTTTCAAATTTTGGTAAAATAAAATTGAAAGGGGGGGGAGCTTCTCATTCTCCTCTCATCCCCCATTAAAAACTCAAAAGAAAATTCTACTTTGTTAAGCTCTCTAAACATGTATGTGGAGGGAAGAGCTCCATATTTCCTTCCATTCCAGAAGAGCAGATACTAACCTGAAGCAACTGCGTTGCAGTGGCCCTTTGTTCTGGACACTTCACAAGACACTGTTTTACAAAATCTGTAAATTCATCTGACCATAGTTCTGGCTTTCGAAATGTTGGTGGTGGATTTGTTGGAATCATGAAAATTGCCTGCAAATAACAATATTGGTTTTTGTCCTTTGCCATGTTATAAGTAATCAAAAAATAGATATACAGACTGTCATTCTTGGCCTCGCAGAAAATATTAAAGGATAACAATATCCCGCTTCAGACCACAAGGCTGGAACCGTACATTACTGCAGTCTTCCCCAACATATTAAATGCAATGACAACCCCAATTATCTGAATGACCCAGATTGGAAAAGCTGTCCTAGTGGTCTTCATCCTCTGTTTCAGCATACAGGTAGTTCTCAACTTACAACAGTTCATTTAGTGATCATTTGAAGTTACAACGGCACTGTTTTTCACACTTGGCAACTGGTTCATATTTGTGATGGTTGCAGAGTCGTGGTGTCATGTAATCACCTTTTGCAACCTTCTCACCAGCAAAGTCAATGGGGAAGCCAGATTCATTTAACAACTGTGTTACTAATTTAACAACTGCAGTGATTCATTTAATAAATATATCAAGAAAGGTTGTAAAATGGGGCAAAATTCACTTAACAAATGTCTCACTTAGCAACTTAAATTTTGGGCTCAATTGTTGTTGTAAGTCAAGGACTAACTGTAATTAGCAATGGTACTATGATACATTTAAATATATTTACATATTCACATTCAAATAACTTTGAACTTTACTGAATCTAACTTCCTGCTTAAAGTGGGTTGAAAATGATAAACCTTTTATTATCTAAGAAGAGTTAACAGAAACACATAGAAGGACTTAGCCTGGAAAATCAAGGGCCTCCAGAAGCAATACTTCAAGGCAAGATAAATACTTTCCAGGAGGAAATATATGTAATGTTAGGACAAACACAAATGATAATAGATTCAAACCACGACGAAATTCAAAACTTTGAAGACTTAAATAAGCATATTTCCAATCTAATTCTACAATTAAAAAATACCCAGAAAATAACAATAAAGGAACAAACAAAGCAGACAGCAGATTACAAACTAGAAGAGTATGATCAAATTGATGAAATAACAAAGGAAAAGAATTACAATTTGACACAAAGAGGAAAAAATCTACAAGGTTCTGATACAACAAGAAAAATGGAATTATTAGGAGAACTATTAAAGTTTTGGGGACAAAAAGAATTTATCTTACTTACTTCATCTTTTGTATTCCCAACAACATTTGTAAAAATACAGGAACTTTTGGGTAAGCAGATTATACCAACTTGAAAAATTACTTGGCAAAAAAAGTTCAGAGACAGCTACAAGAGATTTGACTTGCCCTACCAGATGGACTATTACGTGAATAAACATTTGTTTGAATATGGCTAAAAGAACAGAGAATTTCAAACATTATCCTTATAACAAGAAGGATAATGAGATTTAATAATATAGTATGTTTTATAATATATTAAATGTTAAAATAGTAGGTTGATGTAACTTTTATTAATATATAAGTAAAATATTAACTGATTTAAAAGGATGTTATATCTAGATACTATAAGACAGATAAAAAGTATAGTATTTCTATAATGCATGACATAAAATATTGGGATGATGTACCTAAACAGGAAAATTTAGATAGTGAGATGACAAATATGAAGAAATTATGCCTGATAAGAATTGGATTGAATATAAAGGAACCTAAGCGAACAAAAATTATAAAAATAGGATGTATGCTGAACTAATGAGATGATGGTTATGAGAATAATATAAGCTGAAAAAATGTTATATAGAGAGATTATTATTATTTGTATAAATATAAAAAATGCCCCTATCTAATCATTTATATATTGAAAATATTAAGAATTATATTTCGACTAAGATTAAAGAAGGAAAATACAAATAGGAGAAGGGAAGATCAAAGAAATGTATTATTAATATATTAATTATGGAATTATCAAATTTAATCATTATTGACTGTTAATTATTACTGTCCTTTTTTTTTCTTGTTAAAATATAAACCAAGACAACACGCTCTACACCAGGCACTGGAGATTGTTATAGTTAAAAACCAATAAAATATCTACATTAAAAAAAGAGATTACATCTAGCAAAGTAGGATCAAACCAAAGATAATGAGAATTAGGGCTCAACTTTACTTGTGCATTAAAGCTACAATCATCTCCACATCTTGGATTAGTTACCCAGCATTTACCCTCATTGGATGAATATCAGCATATGGAGGTTTTCCTTCAGCCATTTCAATGGCGGTGATACCCAGAGACCAGATATCTGCCAGACAATTGTATCCAATTTCTTGGATCACTTCAGGAGCCATCCAGAATGGAGTTCCTATCACAGTATTTCTTTTTGCCATAGTGTCCTACGAACAGAGGCAAATGTTTAAAGAAGTTAGCTATTTAAAAGGAAGCTGGTGAAAATATCTGCTAATCAATTGTTCAAATGCTTTCAAACATTTTATAAGCTACACTGTGACTTTATAATTATAGATATTGTAAACGTCCCTGCAACAGTGTGGTGCAGTGGTGAATATGCGCCTCTAGAAATCAGAAGACTATGAGTTCTAGGCCTCTCTTAGGCAAGAAATCCAGCTGGATGACTTTGAGCCAGTCACTCTCTGGCTCAAAGGGTTGATGTTGTGGGGAAAATAGAAGGAAGAAGGGATATTAGGTAAATTAGCCATCCCAAGTTATATATACATAACAAGAAATGGGATAAAAATATAATAATAACCCATCTCCTAGAATTTTCAAAATATTTAATAACAGAGATGGGCAAAATACTCTGTACAGAGTAGCTTCTACTGGAACATATAACTTCATTCCAGAAGGAGGAGGAAAGGCAAAGAATCAGCCAAGGACATTAGAGGATAAGAGAAGAGAAAGGCAAAAAGACCAGGAGATAGCATATGCCCTTCTGACGCTGCTGGCAAGGTCAGTCAGAGAACTGGCAAGCTGACAGGACATTTTGTGCTGGGCTATGAGTGATGCTTCCAATCCAGCAGAGTGGCAGAGGGGGGAGTAAGAAAAAAAAGTGGTAAGAAAGAAGATCAGGGATGGCCAAGCTGATGGGATATGCTGGGTTGGGAGCAATCAACCTTGTACTATTCAACCTGTCTGGATTTTGTTTCATTCAAAATCTAAACAACCAAAGCATTCTGAATTTCAATTCTTCTAAATTCTAAATTCTTCTTAGCAAAACCTCCAGAATTTGAAGGTTCCGGGTTGAAAATATTTTTTTCCGCTTTGTGCACATCCAAATTAATAGAAATAGATTCAAATGAAAATATATAATTTCTAAAAATCTAAACCTTACCATTTTAGAAAATCAGATTATTTATATATGCCAGTAGTTCTCTGGTGGCCATCTCATATTATATAGTAATGTTTGATCCAGAAAATACACTCCTGCTTGGTTTACATATCTATTAAACTATAACGTTTATTTGGATACTGGCATTTTGTGATGTTTTCATCCAGTCATTACAGTTTGTAAACTATTGTTAATAGATTACTACGCTCCCAAATATGGGTTTTGAAAGAAAACGAATCTTTGCACAATATAGGAAGAGTGTATAAGTAGTTTCTATACTTACAGTAAGCTGGCCAGCTACCCCAAAATCTGCAAGTTTAGCATGTCCTTCTGTATTAAGTAATATGTTGCCAGCTTTGATGTCACGATGTATTTTCCTCATGAAATGTAGGTATTCCAGTCCTTTCAGTGTTGATTGTATTATTGTAGAAATTTCATCTTCCATCAACTGTAGAAGGAAACTTACTAAATAGTTATTGCTAAGATCCTATTACTGTCACTTAAAATTCATGTCTTCTATTAGGACAAAGGATGGAGAAGGCTACAAGAGGGTAATGCAACTTATTGATCTCCAGTAATAACAACTTCCAGTGGAACATAGAATGTTCAATTTCTGCTCTTTCAGATCTTTTATTACTCAATAAAGCAGGCCAAAGTTTATAACTTTTACCTAAAAATTTTATCCGAAAAAACCCCTCAGGTATTTATTCAGATCCTGAAGCAGCACATACCGTTTTATTTCGTAGTCGAATTATATCAGACACAGATCCGGCACCGCAATATTCCATTACTATCCAGAGGTCCGTGTTCTTAAAATAGCTGCCATAATATTTGACTACATGAGGACTAAGGAAGACAGAACGTATTACTGAATTGACTCAAGTGCACATTTTGAAAAAAAAAAAAAAGCTAGCTATGAATCAGCCTAAAATTCTAGGATCGAGAAGTATTAGGATCTTAAGTAAAAGCATTAACTTACAAAAATGAAATTCCATCGTCTGGTTTTCAGTTATGCATTTCTACTCCTATTTCAAAGGAGTGCATTTTTTGGCACAAGGCAACTCATGCAAGTGGAAGAATTTGATTTAGCTGGCTTGCTCTAAGGATTGGCAAGGCAAAAATCAAAGAGCTGCAGACCTGTAAACATGGGGCAGCATTTTCCAAATTCTGTTCTGGGAAAACACTGTCAGAAATTACTGATACCATAAAAGGGCAGAAGAACAATATCTAGGATTTAAACCTGGAGTGCCCATCTGATTGTCTCTTTCTCTCACACATACAGTTATATGCCCCAGGCAAAGCTAGATTCCTGTATTCTGCACCAATTATGTACCTATGACTTTTTAATTAGCCATAAAAGTTTTATTTAACAGTGTTAAGTCTTTCAAACTCCTGTTGTTATTTAGCTATGACTAGGAGAATGACAGCTGAGTATCTGAAGAGTCGTGCTTTTATGAAGCCCAGCACTTCCAGCAGCTACCCAATTTTTAACAGGGAATATACTAATAAAATAAAATAATTCAATTCAGGTATGAAACATTATTCAAGTTGAGAGTTTTTATAACGATAACATTGATACTAGCAACAACTTTTCAAAACATATACCTCTAGGAATATTTTAGTTTCTTATAATAGTATATTTAACAGAGAAAACTGTGCAAGATATGTTTTCATTGTTTTCTATTATCGTACTAACATTTAAAACATTTCTTTAAACACCGATATATGGTGAAAACAATCAGCTAACCAGAGGTTCCCCTGATGTATTGTTCTGTAGAAATTCTTCGTTGTTTCAAAATAACAGTCACCATGAATGAATGGTTCATGTATGGTTTACATATTCTTGCTGTAGGAAAGGTGTGTCTTTTCCCTATTCCCCCACCCAACATTCTTGCTTCCTCTGTACATTTGCTCTAAAGCATTTGGGGATGGGGGAATTCTTGTAAGAAGGTAGACAAAGGCAAGGAAAAATGTTTTTTCTCAATTCTTTCATGAGATCTCAATCGCTTTTGCAAATGGAATAATCAATCAAGCATCACAGTTTTAATATATTACAGATTGCTATGCTTACTCATTATTAACCTACTATAAGTGCAAATACATAATTAAAGCATGCAAACACCTTTCAGCGCCAATAGGTTTCTTCTAAGTTTACACATTTTCTTTTAAAAATTATCTGAACTTTGGAGAATCTACAAATATTCCAATAATTTTCCAATAAATCATTTCCATGTAAAGATTCTGAACACAACATTTAAACTCATTAACCGCTTAAAAAAAAAAAGATACTGTAGTTCAAGAGGTTTGTGAGAAATTAACTGAACTCTCTTATTTACTAAATTCAAAACAACCAAAATAAAACAGACTACATAGATCAATATGGTCAAGTTAATAAAACATCTGGTGTTTAGAGTATAGACTTTCTTGATACCAGTTTAGCAGGATGGGAATATAATAACTAAAAGGTTCAGTTGTTCAGAAAGAACAGAAGCAATAGAAAAGGACATTTAACTCTGTATTAAAAATATCCACATCTGCCCAGATATCCAGAGTAATGATCTAGGCCCTGCTGTTGAGAGGATCTTTATTAAAATGAACAGGCCCTGCTGGTGTCCACTATTATGCTTGGAAATTCCAGGAAATTCCTGACAACTTTCATCTTTAGAGGGAAGAGACAGAAGAAGGGAATGTGCTAAACTTGTCTTGAACTTAACTAATATAAAATATTTGGTAGATGAAACTCATGGAAACTTACATGATACTGTAGTTTCTGCTATCAAGAGAAACCAAAGATGATTACAACTGAGTATTATCTTGGACTTCAGATTTAATAAATTCAGAACAATGAAAAGTGGATCCCAGAAAGATGCTCAAAATGGATGGAAGAGTCTTCAAAAATAAAATACTAAAAGCACAATAATGACTAGTTCCAGCAGGAGATTAAGGAAAATAGCAGAAGCACTTAATGTGGCAGCCCAAAAAGTTTAGCAAAAATTAAGCAAGGAACATACAGAATTAGGACTGAGGGAAGGATGCAGAGTAATAGCAGGTAGCCAAAATCTGGAAGTAGTATCATGAAAGGTCAAGCTTAAAATAAGCCAGTTAGTAAAGGATGCCAAAAATGACAAGAAGGATGTCTATGGAAATTCTCAGTCATCCAAGTCATGGTTGTCCCAAAGCTTCTTGTTCATGAGCCAACTGGACTTTCTTTATTTTTCTTTGAAGACATTTTGCTCCTCATTCAAGAAGCTTCTTAAGTTCTGAGTTCTTGGATGAGAAGCAAAACATCTTCAAGGAAAAACAAAGAAAGTCCAGTTGCCTCTTGAAAAAGCACCTTTGCAATGACAAGAAGGGCTTCTTCAGGTATGGGTAAAAAGAAAAAGAAAAACCATGTAACAGGTATTCAGTGAAAATGACAAAATCCTAACAGTTAATGAAGAAAAAGCAATATTATTTAATTCCTATTTTGATTTAATCTCTGAGAAATCTTAAGAGAATGGGGGGCAGTCCCAATTCTGTCCAACTGTAGAAGGGCAAAATGGAATTCTGAAAAGTACAAACTATTTCATCTAAAAATTTTAACTGAAAACATTCTACAGAATGTTTAAGTTTGATCTGTAAGCAGTTTAACACAGTGCAATGGTTTGTCCAAAATAAATCTTACCAGACTAAACTAATCTAGTAATTTCAACAGTAGATTGTCACCTGCTAAAGCAGTGGTTCTCAACCTGTGGGTCGGGACCCCATTTGGGGTCGAACGACCATTTCACAGGGGTCGCCAAACAACGCAGTCTGCCATTTTTTTCCCCTTTTCCTTAGCTGTGCTACTCCCTTTTATTCTATTGGCTTTTGAAAGCCAATAGAATAGACTCTCTTGAATAGAGTCTAATTCTATTGGCTTTAAAAAGCCAATAGGAATTGTCCAGGCTGTCTCTACCCTGCTGAACCCGCCAAAAGTCCCATGGTGCAAACCGTGCTGCAAGTTGTCTGCAGCGAAGGCGAGCTGTCTGGAAGTTTCCACCCCTCCCTGCTAAGCAACTACTAAAAATGTAAGTAAAAGAGGGCCGGGGTGGGAGGCCGGTGGGCGCAGGGAGGGTTGCTGGCGTGTGTGGGGCCTGGTGGGTGCTTTACCTCCCTTGGGCTGGGCCAACTGGTGGCCCAGCTGGTGGTCGGCCTGCGCCATCTCTGCCGCTTGCCAGCTATGCCTCAGCCGGCGCAGGGGGCGGCACCACGCATGCGTGGCGCTCCGGGCAGGGAAAGTCCTTGACTTACGACCGGTTGGGTAGTCCTCGACTTACGACCGGTTGGGGTCACGGCATTAAAAAGCTTGAGAACCACTGTGCTAAAGACAAAACTAATCTTAACTTTGTATTTAATGAGAACTGAATCATTACCTAGTGAAATAGGATGAAAGTAAGAGAATAAAATTTAAGAAAGAGGAATGCAAAGTTCTTAAATTATAAAATAAATCGAACGCACAAGTATAAGTATTCCACATGAGATATAGTGGAATAGTACATCACCAAATAACTACCACCCAACAGCCAAAACAGCTACCACCCATAGCTACCAAAAAAACAAATGCAATTTTAAGCTAAATCAAGCTAAGGAATCTAGTTTATAAATCACAGGAAGTAATAGTTCCACTATAGGTTGCATTCCTTTTAAGTATTGTATGTAGTCCTTGGCCCTATATTTTAAGAAAAATCAGATGCAGAAAAAGAAAATAAGGGACATTTTATCAGAAGACACTATAGGAAATGACTATTTTAGCTCTGATAAAAGAAAAGTTATGAGGGGATATGATAATACTTCTAAAGTTGTTGGTTACTATAGTAACAATATAATCAAAATAAAATAAAAGCTTTCCTTAGGTAAAAGAATGGTCTCAATTGTTTTCTGTCATTTTGAAGCATACAGCATTGCAGGAATCCTATTTCTTCACTCTATCTCCATAGAAACATAGGTGGGAAAGAATAAATCCATCCATTATTTCACCCAAAACATAATCAAGAAACAATCTAGAGAAGGGCTTCCGTTTAGGCGTTGCAGCATAACGGGTGCAGGAAGATGGGCCACCATCTTTCACGTTCAATTTCACCCCGCTGGGGACCCTAAAAAGTCACCCTGGAGAGGCAATGAAGGAGGGGACGCTCATCGATCACAGAGGGGTGGCGGCTCTTCCACTGGATCCAAGGAAGCCCTCCAAACTGGCGGGGGAAAGACTGGCTACATTTGTGTGGCCAGTCAGAAGCTGCTGACAATGAAGATAAGCACTAACTACCAAATTTTGAGCAACGTGGATGAACTGGGTGAGACTTTATCCTCTTTTTATTACCTTAATACTACTCTCCTGGAAAAAAGAATGCCCAAAACAAAGAATCCTCCCCGATGAGAGAGGAAAGGGACATTTTTGCCCCACTCCCTCAGGAAAAGAAAAGCGGTGAATTAATTGCTTTGGGGGAAAACAGAAAAAACTACAAGATCAATTTGGAATTAATACAGATATATAGCTTTGAAATTTGGGGACTAAAAGTACCTTTGAGAGTGTTTTTAGAAAAGATATTTGAAAGTCTATAAAATAGGCTTAGATTTGGAAAGCTGGAAGACAGTGACAACAATATCTAGTGGTGAATCATGGCACAATTTATTATGCTTATAGGAAACTTGCCTTGAAGCCTGGACTTAGATAAGACTCTTTGTTGTTCCTGAAAACTTTCACTTTTGCAGACTGCAGTTGGGAAAAGGGAAAAAAAAACCTTCTTGGGCTGCTTATCTGTGTTGGGGACCCTATTGGACTATAAAGACTAGATACAAAAACAAAATGGGTGTTTCATACTTAGCCTCAAATGGTAAAAAACCATCTTTAACACTTGTCTCTGAAGCCCCCAGCTTGATATACATATAAGAAAATGTTAATGAATCTCAGAAAGAAACTATTTCTATCTTGAAATCAATCCAAGAGACAATTGTTTTATTTCATGATGAGACTAAAAATAATGCAAATGAGATAAAAGAACAATTTTCTAACCAAACTTACAAATCCAGACAATAACCGCAAAGAAAGAACTAGTAACCCAGAAAAAAAAAAGGAAAATTAGAAGAAACGGATCCAAAGATTGAGGACCTAAAGGAAGGAATTAACAGATACAGACAAATGAAAAATTAGAAGATGCAATGATAACACCATTTTTAGAATGAGAAACAAGAAATTTCCCACTGGTGAATGAAAATATCAAGTGCTGATACTTACCTATCACATTGTTGCATTATTGATATCTCCTTAATAATCTCCTGCAAATCAGATTCAACAGGAACTTGCTTAATTGCAACAACTTGGCCTGTTTCTTTATGGATAGCTTTGAATACGCTGCCATAGGATCTGTAACAAGAAACCCAAACTTGAAACTCAGAAAGAATAAAATAAAAGAAGCTTGATCATTGTGCTGGAATGGCTCATGTCAAATCTTGACTCCTGAAAAGTGCCATGTAGTCCTCAACTTGAATCAATGGATTCATTCCTCAATAAATCAATGAAAATCAATGTTCTGACTCATTTAATTGGGTTCTTTTTATTTAATGTTATGTGGAGAACAGATTATATCATAGATCATATATGCAGAACTATTGAAAATTAAAAAGGGTTCACCAACCTTTAAGTCCTAGTGTATATGAGAAGCATTACTGGAATAAGCTGTTTTAATACTCCTAATATGGAAAATATATATTTGGAGGAAAAACATAACTTTTGTTCTCAAAAAGCTGACTTTTTAGTTTTTAGAAGCTAAAAGTGAGACTATCATAAATATTCATCATTAATCAATATCTTTATTTAGTGGGATACAGATTATGTACCAGTGACATTACTTCTTTAAATGTGCCAAAGATTAATTGATTTGTTTCATTACTAGAAATGAACTGTGGAGTATATTTTGCATGCTTAATCTCACTTTTGAAAAGAGTGCAATCTAAGTCATGTAATAATAATAATAATGATAAAGTTGGAAGGGACCTTGGAGATCATCTAGTCCAACCCCCTGCTCAGGCAGGAAACCCTATACCATTTCGGACAAATGGCTGTCCAGTTTCTTCTTAAAAACTTCCAGTGTTGGAGCAAAATTTTGGAATATTTACAGCCTTGTCTCATTCTTTTAACTCAGACTGAGAAAGTGAGGCTTTGCACACAGCACAACTTCCTCAATTGCTAGAAATGGATAACCTGCAGACATAGCAGCCCCCCCCCCCCTTTGGAACCCTTCTAACCACTACAGAGTTTCCTACTGCCCTGAGGCAGGAAACTTGCAGAACCTAAAATAGGCTAAACAAACAAAACACCAGAACTTGGGGAGAAGGGAAAAGCAAACAAAAAACAATAAAATATTATGAAATCATTTTAAATGCTACTAACTTGATTCATGTAAAAATGTTTACTTTGTTTTGGAAGACAGGAACTAAAATATTTATCTTCTAATATATGTCTGTGCACTTTCAACCACTACGGCAGTATGGAATATTTGACATTACAGGAGTAGCAGCAGAATAATCTTTAGGTCACATATTGCAAAAATGAAGATAGTAACAAATGACAAAATCATTTCATGGACCTCACTAATAGTACCCTTTTAGGCTTTTTTCCCCTGACCATGCTAGAAAAATCTTAATGGTTTCCTGGCCGGTTTAGAAACATAGTCTTCAGAACAATAGGGATGGAATCTTTGACAGAATTCTGCATGTATATAGGTAGTCTTGAGTTACGATGGCCACCTGTAGCAGAATTTCTGTTACTAAGCAATGCAGTTGTAAGCAGTCGTAACTTTGGTAACTAAATGACCATAAGTCAAGGATTACCTATACCCAAAAGCACACAATCATAAACATCATCGGGCAAAAATAATGTACTAATTTAACAAATGTACTAATTTAACAAAGAAAATCACAGTAACTAAAGTAACAAAAGTGTAAAGTAAAACAATGTTTTTCCTACATATCAAACTCATGAATCTATTTTAATTGGTAGCTATCTCCCCCAGTCCCAATCTAACAAGGCATGCCCCAGAATTAAGTATCATTTAGCTAGGTCAAACACAGAAAAACTTTCTGTAATTCCATAACATAAAGATCATTATGGTCAATTTTAGACTGGCAGTTGCTCTATTCCTTTACAAGCTTAGAAAGCTAGTTAAAATGATCCAGCCCAGTTCTTCTTTTGCAATGGTTTGGGTCCTGCCTAAAAGTGGTACTGGAGGAATTACTTTTCAACATCTGAATCACTTATCTATGGTGTTCCATAAGCTTCTGTCTTATCTTCCATGCTGTATAACAGAGGTCCCCAACCTGTGGGCCATGGCTCACTACCGGGCAGCGGCCGCTTGGCCACCAGGTTGCGTGGAAGGATGGCCAGTGCACAAACCAGCCTACCCCAAGTGTCCCATCAGTGCTAGCGTCGCCTCGCCCGAGCATCCCACCGGCACTAGCACCGCCCCAAGCATCCCGCAGCGCTAGGGCCACCCTGCCCTTGAGTGTCCCACCTGCACTAGTGCTACCCTAAGCATCCTGCCGGTGCTAGCGCCACACCAGCCCCAATCATCCTACAGGACTAGCGCTGCCCTGTCCCGAGCATCCCACCGGAACTAGTGCCATTCATAGCATCCAGCCAGCGTTAGCGCCGCCCCATTTGCAGCACTCGCACCCGCGCTACCCCATTTGCATGTGCTCATGTGCTCACATGCAGCGGTTTGCTTGTGCGCATGCACTCATGCATTGTCCATTTGTGCACACACACGTGGGGCTCATTTTTGTGTGTGCAGGTGCGCAGTCCATTTGCACGCACACACACAGTGGTGCCTGCCTCCCTTTCCGGGCCACCAAACCAAAAAGGTTGGAGACCTCTGCTGTATAACATCTACAGGAAATTAGTGGGGAAGTTTTGGGTTCTGGAATGGAGTGCCATGTATTTACTGATGACACCAGGCTCAATTGTTCCCTACCAATTAATTTCAAGGAAGCAATCAGTATCCTTGGATCCCTTCTAATCTTAATAGTGGACTAGATGAAAGAGAACCACCTGAAATTAAATCCAGATTAAGAGAAAAGTACCATTCATAGGAAAAAATAGACTGTAGGATTGAAACAAACATTCCCAGAAAAAGCAAATTCAGAGTTTGAGGATGCTTCCTGAACCTCACTGAGTTTGCATGTGCAGGCAAAAAATTATGTATGCATAATTACAGTTCATGAAGCTATGTGATCTTTCCTCAGTGGGTAATTTAACCTCTCCTCATTACAATCTCTCTTGACTGTTTGGATGGGGCTACCCCTGAAACATGTTTGGAAATTATAATTCAAATAAATTAGGGCAGCCCCGCTAGATATGTGGTGCAAGATATATGGAACATTTGATGCTACAATAAAACAGCTTGACATTTCCTGTCTCCTAGAGTACAAGTCACTCTATAGTTAACTTTCTCTACTGCAGTCTATAAAACAATGTTTTGCTCCGAAATAAGCAGTCTGGTTTATTTAGTCTTCAAAATGACTTGCTGTTTCAATAGTTTAGTTTGACAGTACATATCAGGAAATGACATCAATCCTATATGCACAATTATCTATGGCAACATTATATAGGCTGCGATAAGGATATTTGTGAGGTTTACTTACCCTTCTCCAAGTTTTTCCAACACATCAAACACTTCTTCAGGCTGTTTTGTACCCTTCTCCAAGTTTTTCCAACACATCAAACACTTCTTCAGGCTGTTTTGTCAAACTATCTTCATCTAATTTTCTTAGCTGCCTGGAATCAAATAATTAGATATGTTATCAGATTTTGATGGCTGGACCTTCAATATCAACTTAATTCCCAGCAGCAAATATAGTTTATTAACAAATTATGTTACCAATACTGAGCATATTCCATACATATACAAAACTGCATTTTTTAAGGACAGACAGAAGAGAGATTCTCAAAGTTCTCAGGCAGCCTGACATTTGCATCAGCTGCATCTCTTGTACTAGGAAGTATTCTAATTCATAAAATATTTTTCATCCAAAATGCACAATTAATTATGAAATGTTTTCTACAGTTTCCTGAAAACTAAGTATTCATTTTCTGAATGCAAAAATATAAAAAAAAAATCAGCAGCATATGCAAAACAGATAATGATTTTAAAAGAGGAAATATTACTAAGGTTCTATTCAGGAAATGGTGAAACACAAAAACAAGTCTTAATGATAAAGCTTTAAGATTATAGAATATAATCTGGTTCAGAATAAAAAACAACAAATACACTATCCTTCTCAAGTTACTATTTGGGTAATTGTTAGCCCAATTTTTAAACAAGCCATAATTAGCTATTTTCATATATCACAGTGTGAATTCAAATGTATTAACCACTATAAGCAACCAGTTAATTCATTTCTAAATGTTATCATAACACGTTTAGCAGCTACCTCTATTAGGAATTTTTAAACTCTGTAATTTTATTTATTTGATAAGTTTATACAGGTAATCTTTGTTTAGCACCACAATTGGGATCAGCACTAAGTAGGAAATGACAATAACTGTGTTTTCTGGCTCAAAATTGACAACACTAATCAGTTTCACACTTTTCACTTTTGTTTGCCTCCTACTCACTTCCATACCCTTTGGAATGTGTATCCCAGTGCTAGGATAATTAACAAGAAAGGAATTAATATTTTCATTTATACTCATTGTAGATAAAGATTATAAGAGAGTAAGCAGGCACACAAAGGGGGAATATCCATCAAAAGCAATGTGCTAGCATCAGCAGCTGGGAACATACTATCTGTTGTTTGCCTGATTATTCTCTTGTAATCCCTTCTTCTCCAATCTCTCCACTCTGCAGGAGAAGGGGGACAAGCAATTTCTCCTTTGTCTGATCCATTCCCACTCCTCACAAAGAGGAGAAACTGGAAAGTAAACAACATAGTGCTTTTGATGTGTATTTCCCACTGTGTGCCTGTTTATTCTCTCATAATGTTTTTCTCTTCAATCTCTCTGTTCTACAAGGGGGGGGGGACAACAGCTCAGGAACAAGATGCCTACTAATTCTAATGGCGATCACATAACTGTGACGATCATATGACTGAAGGATAGCATGGCTGTAACTTTGAGTGGTCACTGAATTAGGCAAGTCAGTGAGGGTTACCTGTGTAGATGCCCATTTCACAAACATGACTCTCTAGTCTAAGTGGCCATCATCAATTTTAGAATCCCTCATATACACTCTTTGGGTATTACTTCATTGAATAATTGCCACAGATGAAATATTCACCAGTCAATTCACATATTAGAGCAGACATGTCAAACACAAGGCCCGGGGCTGTGGTTTTAACATTAATAAGTGATTGGGTTAATTTAACAAATGTAGAAATACTCCTCTTGGAGGGTTGGGATTTACTTTTTGGATGGCATGCCTATTTAATTAATAAAAAGGTCAATAGGGTTTTTAAATCTCACATTATAAGGATTTCTTTACTTCGGGTTTGGAGGAAATATTATAGAAGTGATTTTAAAATTCCATTATGGGCTATACCATGGCATGCGATAGAAGGGATAAGGAGAGGAGTTAAGATGGATAGTGTTTCTTACGCACAATTACTTAGATGGGATGGTAAAAATTGGCAGTTAAAATCTTTGGAAGATTTAACACAAGAAAATATTATTTACTCATGGTTCCAGTAAAGACAAATAGTGGATAGGTGGAAGATAGATCGTAATGTGGGTTTGCTTAGAGAAGATAAAAACTTGTTAAAACAAATAAAAGATCAAAGACGAACTCACATTAAGAGAATTTATGGGGTGTTAGTAGAATTGGATTCAGAAGCAGAATTAGTCAAAGAATGTATGATTAAATGGGCACAAAATTTTGGTGAACCAGTTCTACTAGATACCTGGGAAATTATTTGGGTGAGGAATGTCAAATTTACACAAGCCCAAAACTTAAGGGAGAATTTTTACAAATGTTTTATAGATGGCACCTTGATCCACAAAAACTGTCTCGCATGTATCCTGACTTACAGCCTAAATGTTGGAGATGCGGATGTTTGGATGCTACCTACTATCATATCTGGTGGTCGTGTAAAAATATAAAATCTTTTTGGATTAAGATATGGTGGAATATCCAAAGAATTTTTAGAAGGAGGGTAAAATTTACCCCACAATTGTTTTTGTTAGGTATTGTTACTGATTGTGATACTAAAGAGACCACATTGATGTTAAATTTAATTACAGCCGCAAGGTTGTTAGTAGGGCATTGTTGGAAGAAGGAATCTTTGCCTATTTTGCAAGAGTGGTTTTTTAAAGTTTCTTATTTGGCGGAAATGGCAAAGATTTCGGCTTTTTTGAAGGATCAATCGCAAGAGAAGTATTTTGCGGTATGGAAAAAATGGATAGATTTTATACAATATAAGTTGGATATAAAAAATATTATTTAGTTTTTCAATAACTTATATTTAAAATTTAAAATATTTTATAGACTTTATTCTTTTTTTATTTTTTTATTTTTATTATACTTTCTTTTATCTTTTTCTTTTTTCTCTTTCTTTATTCTTTTTCTTTTTAAGTATTTTTCTTTTGATATTTATGTTTTTTTATATATATATTATTGTTAATTATTTTATAATTTGTTCAATTAATGTATTTAGATTTATTCATGGTTTATATCTTTTTTAAGATTTTTTGAAGAAATTTTAATTAAGCCTATATTCAGCTCTGGAAAGGTCGGGGGAGGGAATGGGAGGGTTGGGGAGGTTTGGGGAAGGGTTGTTTTGTTCTTGTAAAATTTTAAAAAATTTTCAATAAATAAAAAAAAACCACAAGGCCCGGGGGCCGGATGCGGCCCGCAAAGTGGTTTCATGTGGACTGCGAAGCCATCCTGGAAAGAGTGAGGGAACGGCCACTGCTGCCTTGGCCCTGGCCCAGGCCAGCCAGGAGCCAATGTACAATTTTGTGGTGGCCATCTATGCTGAAATGCATTCAGTCTTAGCTCCACAAGGGCATCCAGAAACAGCAAGGAACCAGCCCCTACTGCATTGGCCCCACCCCCTGGGTACATGCTGGGGAGGTGTCACCCTTTGTGAGGAATGAAGAAATGCACCATGCCTTGGCCCTTGCCCCAGTCCCACCCCCTTCGCCAGAGAACCTCAGATCTGTCCCACTCCTGCCCAGGCCCCCATAGGCCCCCTTGACACGAACAATGTAGAGTTGGCCATGCCCAGACAGTAGGCCACACCCACTCCATCCACACCCACCCAGTAGGCCGCACTCACCCTGGCCACACTCACCTGGCCCCCCAAGGGCAACCGCAATGCTGATGCGGCCCTCAATGAAATTGAGTTTGACACCCCTGTATTAGAGATTAGTCATTTTAACAGAAAACATTAATCCAATTTTAAAATCACTTGTGCTTATAAGATCATTGACTGAGATGGGTGGCTATAAAAATTGAATAAGTAAATAAAGTTGCTTGAAAAGTGATTACAAAGTTTCATCAGCAATCTAAAGAAATGCAAGTATATTATATGTAGGAAAGACAATTCAATGTATACAGTATAGACTAATTATGATTATAATTATCTATGTATCAAAATAGAGAAATGCTACAAACCAAGTAATACATCAAGTAATCAAAAACTAAAAAGTTTGAAAAATAATTGGCAATAAAAGAAAAAAGGGAAAGAAAATAAATTTGAGAATCCAAATTGTTCATATGCAAGTGAATATGGAGGGGCTGAGATGGTGAGACATACACACAAAACAAAGGAAACAGGTTCTTTTGCTCAGCATGTAAAATGCATTATCCAAAATTGAAAGCAGCTACAGTCTGTGATAACAAAGTTAAAGAAATTTCTGCTGATCTCAATTGTCTTTAACTTCAGATTGTTTTCCTACTGCAATGGGTAGAGTACAGGCAGTCCTCGACCATTTGTTTAGTGACCGTTTGAAGTTACAGTAGCACTGAAAAAAGTGATTTTTGATTGTTCTTCACACTTACAATCATAGCACAGTCAGAGTCACATGATCAAAATTCAGATGCTTGGCAACTGGTTCATATTTATGATTGCACAGAGGTCATGTGACCACCTTTGGCGACCTTCTGACAAGCAAATCAATGGGTAAGCCAGATTCACTTAACCACCATGTTACTAACTTAACAACTGCAGTGATTCACTTAACAACTGTGGCAAGAAAAGTTGTAAAACAGGGCAAAATTCACTTAAAACTGTCTCTCTTAGCAGCAGAAATTTTGCACTCAATTGCAGTCTTAAGTCACAGACCTGTGATGGCGAACCTATGGCACGCGTGCCACAGGTGGCACGCAGAGCCCTCTCTGTGGGCACACACGCCGTCGCCTCAGTCCTAGGCTGGGTTTTATAAAACTTTTTTGTTTTAGGCCTCTGCCACTGTGTGCAAAAATAAAAGGTTCAATCAATCAATCAATTTCAACTTCTCACAAAAAAAAAGATCCCGCAAAGTTGGAATTGATTGATTGAACTTTTTAGTCCCACTCAGTCTGCCATTACCACTGCAGCTACCCAATGGGCTATGCCCACCCAGCACCCGACGATACGTAAGTGGGTTTTGGGTTGACGTTTGGGCACTCAGTCTCTAAAAGGTTCGCCATCACTGTCTTAGACTATACTATATTTTGGTTTTCTAGATACTGAGTTACAACTCCTATTTATTTAGCTATCCGTCTGTCTATCTGTCCAATCATCCATCCAATTTAGAGGCCATTTAATTTCACAGAACGTATATATTACAAAATAAGAATAAAAATATATTGCTAAAAGCAATATTACAATTTAATGAAGAAGGGGACGACAGAGAATTAGATGGCTGGATGGAGTCACTGAAGCAGTAGGCGTGAACTTAAATGGGCTCCAGAAGATAGTAGAGGAAAAGGAAGACCTGGAGGAATGTTGTCCAAAGGGTCGCGATAGGTTGGACATGACTTTGCAACTAACAACAACAACAACTTCAGCTTTCCTTTGCATTACAGACCCGCAAAGGTTGTAAATGTTAGGATTAGTTGCAAAGTTACTTTTTCAAGCATCATAATTACAAACAGTCACTAAACAAGGCAGGTAGTAAATTAGAACTACCTGTAGTCTGGAAAATAAGAGTTCTTTTTTTCCAATATAATCTTTACTCTTTTACTTTTAGAAATATATTCATACAAACATTATATATGCTTTCAAAGGGATTTTAATAAATTCATACCTAAAATATACAGCTGGAAGACAACAATATGTTATACATGACTAGTATGAGTTAATATCAAGATGAAGCATGTGCAAGAGGTTATATTAAGACTAAAAAATTTTCAACCCAAATTAGAAGGTTGGATGAATCACAATGTATTTCTGCATCTGCCATTAAATGGTTAACATCAGACCTGTTATGATATAAACATTTAAGCAAATATGTAATATTGATATGAAATTAGCATTCTCTAACCATGCAAAATCTAATTTGACACCTGATAATCATCTTCCTAAGAACCTCTATGTTTTAAAATTAAGAATTATGATTTCAGAAATCTCATTTTCGTTTTAAGTATTAAATCTGGAAATATAGTTGCATGCAAAGATTAAGGTAATCTTTTGTACCACAGCAGAAACAACATGTCTCTTAGCATCATCAAATGTAGGTCCCGGCTGATGTAATTGGGGAGAGGTGGCTCCTCAGAAAGTTTGGTCCCATGCCACGAAAGGGTTTAAAGGTTAAAACCAGCAGCTCGGATTAGAGACAGAAACAAACTGACAACCAATTCAGCTTGAGAGGTGTAACGTGTGCTGTTCTAAGAGCACACACAACTGCCTGTGCCACTGCATTCTATACCAGTCGAAGCTTTCAGATATTCTTCTAGGGCAGCGCCATGTAGACTACATTGTAGTAATCAATTCTGGAGGTGATTAGGGATGAGTCTGTAAGCAGGGCCTGGCAATCCAGCAGCAGGTGCAACAAGTGCACAAGACAAAACTCTGCAAAACTACACCTAACCACATCTGTTACCCTATTCATCAAGCAGAAGTCATGAGTCTAAGAAGACCCCCATATTGTGTATTGCATCTGTTTGGGTCAGAGCAATCCCATCCAGCACCAAAGATGCCATAGTGCTAGAACCATACAGTCTTGTCAGGATTTATCTGAAGCCTGTTTCTCATCCAGATCCTCACAGACTCCAACTACTAGGTAAGACATTCATAGCATTGCTTGATTTGGATAGATATAATTGGGTATTGTTAGCATACTGATCATACCTCAGCCCATGGCAACAGATGAGCTCACCTAGCAGCTCACATAGATGTTAAAGAGGAGACAAGAAAGCAAATATCTTATTCTGCTTCTGGAAAATAACTTTCAAATAACCATAATTACCACTATCAAGCAGTTTGTTACAAATCTCAGGAAGTATTATATAAATGGTTCTAGACATCTTCAGATATCAAATAAATAGCAATGTTCACAAAGTACTGCCACTAACATAGCTTTTGTTACTTTCATGCCTATATTATGATCAAACTTTTTTTTTAAAAAAAGATGGGACAAAAATCTAGTAATAATTCAGGAAATTATATAATTTGCAGTCTACATATACAGAATATTTAATACTTTAAATGTTTAAGCCACTGTTTAAGCAATTAAAACTACACAAGAAACTGCCAGTATTTCAGGATTTTGACATTTTAGAACTTCCCTTTGTGCAGTTTAAGACACTGGGTGCTCCTCTACGTATTCACTTCCCCTTACTATGTTTTTAAGCAAGCAATGAGCTTTGGTAACTAAAGATACCAACTTCCTCTGTAGATGGCGTCTAAAATATCCAAAGTACATCAAAATGTACGCATGTGCGCCCATAATATTTTTAATTTCAGTTTATGCTCTACCTCCCACAGAAAAGCTATTTCTAAAAAGGCAACATATTACTTGGAAAGCCTTGCAAATCCATAAAACAAAACTTTTACTATTCACTTCTCTATTCTTCTGTTGATGGGTTAACCCCAAAACTTGGAAACCAACCTGAACTGTAGGAAGCCCTGTTTTAAACACCCAGGCAGAACTTACTTATGTCCAGGCAGAGATTATTATCTCAATCTTTGGAAAACTACTAGAGTAATCAATATGGGATTTCACCCTAGGCCACCCTCACCTAAGATGCCAAGTTCGTATCTTTAGATATCATCAGTTTTATCACACTAACGGTACCACTGCATTTCTGCTCTGATTTTTAATGAAAAATCTGTACAGTGGTACAGTGACTAAGGAAAGCAGATACTCAAAATATACATATAAGGTGACTCAATATGGTACCTAGGAATTTCAGACGGAACTTAAATCCAAATAGTTGAACTAACGCAGACCGAAGAGGCAAACAGCTGCAAAACGCAGACCCGACTCCACCAATAGGAAACAAGCTGGGCACCCAGTTTGAGACAAAGAATTACAGAAAGACGCCTGTCCTTTGAGCACAAGGTACAGGCGAACCCCGACCAGAGAAAACCAGGGGAGAAAGGTCAGAGCTTCCGCTGCAGAGAAGACCGAAGAGGAGGTCTCAGAGGCAAGAAAAAGCGCAGTGTGCACGCAACCCCCTTGCTCTATCCTCGACCATTCTTCCACCATCCTAATCGCACGGTCACGCCCTTTTCTCTGGGGGGACCCCAAAGTCCGGCTTCTCACCGGCGCGGGTGGCGCAACTGCACGGTCTCCATGGCCGCAGGAGCAGCAGCCGGTAGACAAGGGCTGGGATGATGCGGAGAATCAGAGAAGCGGCAGTCACCGGTGCTCCATCCCGCCTGCTTTCTTGCAGCTCTACTCGCTCTGACTAAAAGCAGAGGCCCCGCCCCCCAAACAGCGGCTGCACTTCCGCTTCGGAGCAGCCTATCAAGGCGATGCCCGCCGGCCTCTGCAAAAAACCCGAAGCCAATACGGACCCCGCCCACCCGGCAGCTGGGACTGACGGACGACAGCGCGGTGGGGGGGGGGGTGGATATGTAATTCACAGCCCTGCCCACGTGGTTCGCGCCAATTCTCCTGTTTTTGGAGGGCGTGGCTACGGGGATAATTAAGTCCCTCCTTTTAGTCCTCGTTTATGCACAAGAGAGGGTATGGTGGGCACGCGCTTTCCCGAAGTTTGAGTAAGATGTGGCAAACCCACTAACTTTAGAGATGGTGGATTCACACGTTGCATTGAAAGATGATTTTTCAATCATCCTGGCGGAATTAACACCTTTCGCTAATTTATATCCTTTATTACCGCGTAAGTTCGTTTTCTTGTTGTCCAGGATGTATCTATTAACACCACAAAACTAAATAAAGCACTTAAAAAAAAAGACACAAAGGACTAAAATATCCTGAAATTGTCATTTTGTAAGATCTGAGACAGGAAGTTTAAAAAAGGGGGGAGGGGGGCAGGTACAGCAATCCGCTAAGATTTTAATAATTTTTGAAAATATATGCAAACTGAAGCACCAGAGTGCAGTGCAGCCATTGGCTATCAGCGAGCCCCTGAGCATAGGTTAACAATCATTGGGCTTGTTTGGCACACAAGGACTTTTGTGGCTTATATTCCAATGTAATGTACAAAATTTTGTTAAGTCAGCATGTTCACAGTAACTGGCCCAACCTATCCCTCTAATCTACCCTGGCTGACTAAATTTTTGAGCCTACTCTTATCCAAATATATGTTAACTTTTGTACAGTGGGGATTTAACTTACATGTGGTTGCAATCTTATATCTAGGATTACTTGTGAATAGTCATGATTAGAATACTATAAGTATATGGTCGAAATATACCCAGTTCAGAAGAACAGTCCTGATTATTTGGGATTGTTATTACCTGGATTCAGTTTTTAATCCATTTACTTGGAAGAAAACTCTTGAATTAAGTGAATTGTGTTACAATTATTAAATAACACAGAGAATTAAGGATTTATATATCACAGCATGCACAGGCTTAAGTAGAATGATCTTACTGAGGCAATTCTAGCAATCCCAAGAAAAGTATTTGACATTTTAAATTACATTTAAATTCCATCAGACAACTCAATTGTCTGTGGCAGTGGTGGCGAACCTATGGCACGGGTACCAGAGGCGGCACTCAGAGCCCTCTCTATGGGCACGTGTGCCGTCACCCCAGGCCTAGGCCTTCAGCTGGATTTTATAAAATCTTTTCGCTTTAGGCCTCCGCCCCCATGTGCAAAAAAAAAAAAAAAAAAGATTCAATCAGTCAATTTCAACTTCTCGCGGGAAAAAAAAGGTTTTGCAAAGTTGGAATTGATTGATTGAACTTTTTAGTCCCACCCAGTCTGCCATTACCACCGCAGCGACGCCCACCCAATTGGCCATGCCCAGCCAATAGGCCACACCCAGACAATGGGCCACACCCACCCGGCACTCGTCGATGCATTAGTGGGTTTTGGGTTGCATTTTGGGCACTCAGTCTCTAAAAGGTTCGCCATCACTGATCTGTGGCATAAAGCTTATTAACAACAAGAGGGGGGAGAGGAAATGGTTAAGAATTGGCCCACTTTTTTGTAAGTTTGAGGAAAAATAAGAACCCAAATGAGTATGTATAAATGAAAAATTCAGCTTTGCTGAGACTTTTTAAAAATAAAATAGCTACCTTAACTGTCTGCAAAGGTTAAGGCACTCATTTTGCTTTAAGATTGGTATATCATGAAGAGTCCTGGTCTAGAAGACCTCCAAGGTTCCTTTCAATGCTACGATTCTGATTTTTTAAAAAGATTAAAAGAGGGATTATGAGGTTTAGAAAAGGCCAGGAGGGCCACTAGGAGGCTGTGTGTAGGCTGCAGACATCTGCTAGCTAGACTGTTCTTGTACTATAAAACAGAGACCTTTCACTGATGAATAGGGGCTGGGTGGCACAAACAAATAGATATCCCTAGATATAAATCTAATAGCAATTAAATAGAACTCATATTATTGTTGTGTATTTAATAATTCTCCCTTCTGTTGCATTATAAATTTCAGTAATGTAACAAATTTGGTTGGGACCACTGCAATTTATGGATATCTGTAGCAAGGCCCCTCATGGCTTAACCTTCTGTACAGAATCCACTTCCTTTTTAATAAAAATCATTCTGTCTTGGTCCAGAATTTGCACTGTCCTAGATTCCCATCCCATACTTTATTATATGCCTGTGCTAAGCTTTGCTATGGACAAAACTCAGCAGCACTTTTTCGTGTGGCTGCTGATAAAAACAGGATCGCCAACATGATCGCCAACATCCGATAACGGATATGGCACAAGAAGAAGAAAAAACCCTGATGTTATTCTCTCCCCCTTTTAATATAAATGCCACTATCTGTTGTTCACACACACACACACACACACAGAGAGAGAGAGAGAGAGAGAGAGAGAGAGAGAGAGAGACTTAAGTTAATATGTACGTTCTCTTTCTTACTGAAACTTCAGTTTCCTGTTCAGTTCATTTCTATGCAATTTTATGGGAGATTACTGTTTATAAATTTATTGACAGATTATTCCAGAATGAATGCACTGGGCTTTCCTCCCATAGAAGGAGCTCGAAATACTCAATTGGGTTCACCTCCCGGTGAGTACATGCTCGTAGTCTAATGCCCTAGCTTCATATCTTACCACTACCACTACCACCACCACCACCATTACCTAATCTGATGCATGGATTATAATGCTGAACCTTCGCTGCACAGGCGTCTTTAAAGGAGGGAGGCGGGGCGTCGGTCGCTTGCGCCGCCCCTAATTAAATCGAGCACGGAGAAAGGAAGCGTCTTCTCGTTTCTACGCCGCCAGCCGGTGCCGGCTTTTTCAGACCTCCCTCGCCTCGAGTTCATGGCTCCTGCGTCGCGAATCGCCGACCTTAAGCAAGCGGGCAACGAACAGTTCCGCAATGGGCAATACGGCCAGGCGGCTGCGCTTTACGCCCGAGCTCTGGAATTGCTGGAAGCGGCAGGTACTGGCTTGGAATTCGAAGCCCCGCAAGGCCTCGCTCGGTGTCCGGGGCGGGAAATCAGGAACGGGAGACCTCGGACTAGGACTCTGAGGCAGTCGCCTCATTGCCTCTCTTATAACCCCTTAGATAGGCATAGAAAGGGTTTTACCCTCAGCCATCGGGTCGCTCCTTGCTCGGTACCGGCTTATTTCACCAAGTCTGACTCCATTTACTATACTTGTTTCGTGTTGGAAATGAGTTGTGTGTAAGATGGGGTGGGATGGATGGATGGATGGCATTATTTACGTTTACATTCCACATTTAATTTGCAAAATCACGAAAGGCCTTTACGGATTATCTCAGAATATCTCTGGGTAATGACTTCACCCATTTCATAGGTGGGTGAAATTAAGGAGGAGAGATTCCCTGGCAGAGATGAGACTTGAATCTGTTGAATCAGCAATTGGATAGTAAAGTGTGTGGGCCATTGCCTTTAATTTTGTCAGAGAGGAGCAGAAGCTTGGAAGGACACATAATTCAGAATCGAGTCTGGCCTGGGCTTACACTAGTAATGCTATATTTCAAAACAGATTCCTGGATGAATTCCAATTTATATCAATGCATATACTCTGAGTTTAAGTCTTGCCCAGACATTTTCTTTTTTAAAAAAATAGGTTAGTGACTAATATTTTAGACTATAAAACTATAACTAAGCTTGAGAATCATGAAGTATAAATGCACAAACAACCCCACAAAGATGATTTTACCGCTACATAAATGTGGATACCCAGAATAATTTAAACAGTACCTGATGGCAGAATATAAAAACTCCATCCCATTAGCTGGGTTTGAGCGTTCTGGGCTTTTTTTTACCAACTTCTTAGGTAGATAAGAAGTGCTTTATGGTCCTCTGGATTAAAATGGAACAGCATTCTTTCTCTTGCTACATATTCTTGGAATTGCAGCCAGTGGACTACATAGACCAAACGTGGCAGATTGTGGTGGACATATAAGAAGAACTTTAGGTCTTCATAATTTCCTGGTCTTAAGTTACTGGGAGCCTCTGAAACCTCTTTCATAATAAGCTTTAGACTTATTATGTCAGCAAAGCTATCTGCTGCAGTCACAATGAGAGATTTTTGGCCACTGGCAGAAGTGAAAGTTAAGTGTGGAGTCAGAAGTTGGATAGCTCTAATGAAGCACTTTCTGTTTCTTTTCCTTTCTATTGCCCTGAGCTTCAGAGCTTTAATAGGAGTGGTTCATTTTTAAGTATTTTCTGTTTATTTCTGCTCCCTGTGTTCCTTATGGACTCTAAGGTGAGGAACAGAAATTTATCTAACTACATTCTAGCTTTAGCCTTGTCTCCCTTTGACTTATGCAATTGTAGCCTTTGTAGTTGTAGTCTTTTCCTAAACACCAGATAGTGCTTTCTAAATAGAAAGCAACATTCTATTATGATAGAACATAGGCCTAAGATATCTAGTAAATAAATGAAAGAAAGTAGAGAAGACTTAAAAGGCCTTTTGTAACATAAAGACCATTTTTAAGGACCATTTCTTTATATCTTTATAAAATGCTAATATTGTATATTCTGAGAAAAAATTTTAAGTAATTAATATATAATTATAGTTGTTTGAAAAGATCATATAAAAGTAAAGTATTTCCATAATTTGTTTAGGCATCATATTTTCTTTGTTGCTAATCATGTGTGAATAATGGATACAAACATTTACATGCTATCTTTTGAAAAATAAGGCAAAAAGTTGCTAGCTCTGTCTCTTTCCTTGAATAAATTCTACTTTAAATTGTATATAAGCATCATTTAGGTACCCAGTCTATATAAAACAGCAAAGGTAACATATGTAAGAAAACTTAATTTTTGATTGCATGTATTTCTATTTTTTGACATTTGTATTAAAAAATTATAAAGAAATCGCAGACCATATTGGT